TTTGGTTTCTCAAGTATTTAAATTTTCTCCGATACAGAATTGATATTAACAAAGCCATAATTATAAGCCTACGCACAACCATGGTTTTGTTTATATAAAAAAACAACGAACATTACTACCAGCTAAAAACGAACATTACTAAAGTTAAAAAATTGTTCTTTTTCTTTCTAATCAAGAAAGAAAAAGAACAATTTTTTTAACTTTAATTTTTTAAGTTATTTTTGTACATTGTTTATAATGTAATGTATTTTTGTGTTTAGTTTAAATTTTCCTCTATTTTTGTACATTTTATAATTTAATTTTGTGCTCTGTTTTGCATTGTTTGTTTGTTTTGTTGTTGTTGTTGTTATTGTTGTTGTTGTTGTTGTTGTTGTTGTTGTTGTTGTTTATTGTTTTTGTATTCTTATGTATTGTTAACTGGGTATTGTAGTGTATAGTTCATATTGTTATATGTTGTTAGTGCGTTGTTTGCATCGGTATGTATTTTTTTTAGTTTTATGTTGGTTGAACGTTATCAAAAATGTATATATTTTTAAAGCAGTATATGTACATGTATCTATATGTGTATGTATACATGTGAATGTAAGTGTATGTACGTGCGCGTGTGTATTTATGAGCAAATATGTGTGTATCTATGCAAGTGGGTAAGTATGTGTATAAATCTTTACGTTTGTGCATAGATGTAACAATATTAAACTTTCTCATTTTTTAATGCTATTTGTTTTTCTTTCTTTTATCTTTATTTTTTATCATATTTTTGTTATGTTTTTTGTTATAGTATTATTTTCTTTAATTTTAAATATTTACCGTAATTACAATTATTATTACTTTTAATATTACTATTATCATTCCTATTTTATTATTTTTTATTTAAATAGCTGTTTAATGTCCATGTTAGTTGTTATGTTTTATCAGTCAACTGTTTGTAACTAACTTATATGCATATTTAGCTATTATGTTTATAAATACAAGTGACTTATTTTTATTATTATTGTTATTATAACAACTGTTGTAATTGTTATTGTTGTTGTCTTTTTTATTATTATTGTGGCTATTATGTTTATTACTATTAATATTATTTTTGTTATTATCATTACTATTCTTATAATTATTACTAATTATATATATAAAGATCAATATTTTTGGTGTTTACTTACGATTAGTAGAATTACCATTTGTAAAAATATTCATGAAATTATTTTTCAGAATATATATAATTGATTGATATATTTTTCAAAATATATATGATTAATTGATTAAGCAACTGCAATTTTTGGTTGGCGTCCAATCAATAATGACAACCTAAGTCGCATCCCTTGCAGTTAAAGATGATTAAATTTAAACATAGCCGCCTAACTTTTGTCGTCAATTTTGCAACAAACACACGAGCTTTTAAAAATGTTTACAGTTTAGCTGATGTGACAAATATCCTAAAATCCCTCAGGTGTGATTTATTGGTGATCAGAGATTTTAATAATTGATCTATGGCAACCAAGACAATGAAAACAAAGCTGATGACAATGCTGCATTTTTCTTTTCTTTTTATTTTTTCGGGGGGTAATTTTCTGCATTTTGTGGCTACTTTTAGATGTTAATAAAGTTTACTGGTAATTCTATAATTTGACTTTATCTTTTTTTCACATTTCTAAGACGTTGAAAATTGATTTTTTACATATCAAGCAGAAAATAAAACCATTAAAACCTTTTGTAAACAAGTGTATCAGCGTTGTCGCAAAAAGTATTCAAAACTCTTTAAATACGTTTGCGTCATGTTGGGTGTTTCCGGATATTAAAGTAATATAAACTATCCATACAAAATGAAATGTTAATTATAAGTTCTTAGTTGAAAAAATATATATATATATGAATAATTTTAAAATGTATTCTATATATAATAAATTATATATATATATATACATATATATATATATATATATATATATATATATATATATATATATATACATATATATATATATATATATATATATATATATATATATATACATATATATATATATATATATATATATATATATATATATATATATATATATATATATATATATATATATATATATATATATATATATATATGAATAATTTTAAAATGTATTCTATAAAAAGAGTGCTCTTTGTTCTTAAAAGAACAGAGCATTAATAAATTAGTAGAAAATCACTTAAATTTTTTTTTTTTTCATTAAACACTTTTTTTTTTTTCATTACACTTTTTTTTTTTCATTAAAAATTTTTTTTTTTTTCATTAAACATCAATAAAGACTATCAGAAATTTCTGATGAGTCTTTATTGATGAAACATAGTTTTAAATAAAATAAAAAAATTCTTAAGTGATTTTCTACTAATATATATATATATATATATATATATATATATATATATATATATATATATATATATATATATATATATATATATATATAAATTAGTAGAAAATCAATTAACTAATTTATAATTGCTCTGTTGTTTTTTTTAAGAACATTGAGCACTCTATTTTGCAGAATACATTTTTTTTTAAATTGTTTATATATATTTATATATATATATATATATATATATATATATATATATATATATATATATATATATATATATAGTGAGAGAATTTTATTATTATTATTATTTTCAATTTATATATATAAATAAATATATAAAATTCTTCAAAACGAATCTATTAACGGCTCACAAGTTCAACAAGCAAATACATCTTATCTCAAGCATAATTGGTAAATCACCATAAAAAGGTCAAAAGTAACATAAACTATTTAATGCTTTCAACAATGACTCTAAAGATCAACAAGAGAGGGAGAGCAACGTTGTTTTAGTTGGCGTCCATGAATCGGAAAAAGCCGATTATACAAAAGTTGAGGAGGTTTTCAAAGCAATTAGAATCACTGGGATTACGATTAAGTTAGTATGTCGTCTAAAATAAGGTTAAAATGTCGACAATAATTCACCTAGTCTTCTTCAAGTCTGTCTTTCAAGCACAGCCAAGCGAATCCTGGTGCTAAAAGCAGGAAACCACCACAAAGCTAAATAATTTAAATGAATATATATACTCGAGGAAAGGACGCCCACGCAGCAACTTAAATTTACAAAACTAAACCAGGAGAGAAAGAAGAACAACAGTGAATTAGAGGCAGTTAATCTTCTTCAAAAACCCTTTTGTTTCATTGTCTATTGACTGTTCGGTTCAATATGATGCATTGACGCCATCAAATTGGCCGAACCAAAAAAAGAGTCATTTTAGATCTTACGACACTTCACAAAAGAAGAGTAAGAAGTGATTTAATTAAGTTTTTGTTCAAGTTCATGCGTGAAATCAATAAAATAAACTTTCAAGTACCATTAAATTGTCCCTCGTTGTCAAAGTATATAATGCATGGTCATAATCAAAGACTTAGCAAAGAGTACTCAATTGCATGCCAAGAGAGAAATTTTTCACGAACTGTGTTGTTTTGTAGTAAAATACCTTTCCGCAAATAGTAATTGACGCGACTTTGGTGAACATGTTCAAAATCGACTAGATAAACATTATATAAGAGAATTTTAAAAGATAACTGGAAATAAACATTCTTCACATATGTTTCCAGTATTCTATTATGTTCTAAAAGTATGGTACTTTTGTCATATATATATATATATATATATATATATATATATATATATATATATATATATATATATATATATATATATATATATGTATATATATATAAATCTTTAATCTCAGACTCTGTTAAAATGAAAATGCTAGAACTTTAGTTATACAAGTTTTTGAATTTCAAATTAGGAATTTTTCTTTTAAAATAAATGTAGACAGGAGTAATTTTCATTGTTAACGAATTTCGCAACTTTTAATCTGGCATAAACAGTCATGCAAAATCATTAAAAGTCCCGCCTATGTCAATTTAGCTATGAAAGTCTGTTTTGTTTTCAGTTAAATAAGCTATGTCTTGAAATATATATATATATATATATATATATATATATATATATATATATATATATATATATATATATATATATATATATATATATATATATATATATATATATATATATATATATATATATATATATATATCCGACGGGCATTTGTTTTTAAAAGTTACGTTCTAAATGTGTTTTAAACACGTGTCAAGAATTAGGTTTTATTTTTTTGAAATTAACAATAACTATTTACCGAAACACCCAACAGGGTCTCAATTTTTTTGAAGGGAAACTAGATGTGTTAGATATATTACTTCGATTGCTCATGTTAAAAGAAAGGTTCATCAGAATAGTTCAGAATAGTTTAAAACACATTCTTTTCGCATTTTATAAAAATTTAAAAGGAAAGTATTGAGTTTAAAAACATTGTTTCTTTATCAACTTGTTTCCTTGTGACTGTTCAAATTACACTCTGTGCAAACAGCATTTTATATACATATATATATATATATATATATATATATATATATATATATATATATATATATATATATATATATATATATATATATATATATATATATATGTATATATATATATATATATATGTATATTTAATGCTGTTTGCTCTTTATTTTTAAGTTATATTTCTTTATTAACTACTTAATATACTTTAAAGTAACTAATGCTATGCAAACATACATTGATATAATTTCTAACAAATTTAAATAAATATTTTTAAAAAAAAGTCTGATTTATGTTAATTAATTTTAGTCATTATATTGGTCTAGTAAGTTATATTTAAGTTTGTTTTTATATATATTAGGATTGTATTTTAACTAACTCGCATCTATTAAAAAATAAATTTCCACGGGTACATTAACTTTCAAAACGTTGCACAGGGTGTAATTTGAACAGTCACCAGGAAACAAGTTGATAAAGAAACAATTAATGAATGTTTTTTTTTTTTTTTTTTTTTTTTTTTTTGTAAACTTCTTTATTTTAAAACAAAATGTTTTTTTTCTGACAACTTAACTGTCATGGGTTTATTAACAATAAACAGTTTAAATAATTTGAAGTACGTTAATACTTTAAGCAGTCTTGTTTATCTCTTTACGTTCAACTTTTTTATAAGTACATAGCAGCATAGCTACATAGCTACATAGCTACATAGCTAAAAAGTTACACAGATACATAGCTTTTTACTTTAAAGTGTATATAACTATAAGCTAAATAACAAATATATTTTTATAAAGACTTGCAATGGTTCAAATAGTTATTGCGACCCAAAATGATATCGACAATATATTACGGTGTACTAATGATGCATTTATGGTAATTATTAAAAAGTTAATTTATTTATTATTAAAATTTATTTTTAAATATTGATTTATAATCTTTTAACTATATAATATTATAGTTTTTATTTATTTATTTTTTTTTTTTTTTTTTTTGTGATCTTTATTAGGCTAATACTTTTTTCAAAAAACCAGAATATAACTACAGATTCACAAGAGAGGACGTTGTATCTAAAATATCTCATAAAAATTCAGTTTTTTTTCTTGCACGCGATAGTACGACAACCTCTAATGACGACGTAATTGGTAGCATACATTTATATTGGAGGACTAAGACAGAGTGGGTTGTTGTTGATAATGATTCTATTCCTAAGGTTGGTAATTATGTGGTTATTACTCTCGTGTATGTTATTGATTGTTATTGTAAATTATAAAACCACTTTGACATTTTATGCTTTTTTATAAAAATCATACTGTTCATTCAAAATAAAAGCCATAAACTAATAGTGTCTATACAACCTTTTTGGTTCTTTTACATCATGAATCATAATGATTTTGCTTTAGGTTACCTTAGTTGGAACATTTTCGGCCATTTCTGTGCCATCAAAATATAGCAAACGTGGCATTGGTAAAACATTAGTTGCTTCTGCTGAAAATTACTTACTTGAAAATGTTTTTAAAGCAATTCAGCATCAAATGTTAAGTGCCGGTTATACTATTAAAAATAGTCTACAACTTGGTGTAGTTATGGAAATTGAAGTAAATAGCTTACGAGAGGATTTACTTCCCTGGTATGAAAAGCAAGGTTATCAAATAGTTGGTAAAATTAAACCCAACGATGTAGAGTTTACAGTCAAAATTTTAGATGGTATAGATGCTTTTTTTATAATAATGAGAAAGACATTATTGTAAATTAGTCTAGAACATTAAATTGCTGTTGTATGGTACGTTGTAATATTTAAAAAGTTATAAAATAATTTATATTTATATATAAAATGCGTGTTGCTTACTTTTAACATTTATTATTAGTTTTATTGACATAAACTTTTTAAAAACATGTGCACGTGTATTTTTATTTAAAAAACTTGTTTATTAGTTATTTCAAATGTTTATTTTTTAAGAGTTGACGATCAAAGTAGATTTTGAAGAGTTGTTGATCAAAGTAGGTTTACTTAAAACTTTTATTTTTTGATTTAAGTGCTTTTAGCACTAAGTACTTTAATTGATTTTATATCAAAATAAAAATACAGTTAAACAAAAGCAAAAGTTATGTTTACTCAAATTTGTAAAATTCAGAGACCCTAAAATTATCAATAGCATTAAAAAATTACAGAAGAGAAGAGAAGAGAAGCCTCCTTTTTAATTAAAAGAAGAGAAGCCTCCTTTTTAATTAAAAGCTTTATATATGATTCAGATCAACAGATAAACAGCAATTTAAAAGTTGGTTTAAAAAAAACTGGCACATACCCATTAAATGCAAGTGTGTTCCTCAATTGTTTGCCGGATGCCAATGAAAATATTGAAACTGTTTAAAACAATTGGCAATGCCAATGCCAATTGCCAACGCCAAAGCCAATGAAAATATTGAAACTGTTTAAAACAATTTTAAGCAAGCAGTACTTAATGTGCTAAACTGATTACGTCGAGTTAATGATGAGGAAAAATGACAGCAAAAACGAGGAAAGGAATAAAAAAAGGAAACTAGCAGATTTTTTGTTTATTTGCAGAAAGTAAATTTCTTTTTTTGTTGTTATATTTATTTTGCTGTTAAGTAATGATAAAGAGAAAAAAGAAGTAAGAAAAAAACAAGAAATGAAAAAAAAGTATTCTGACAATAAATGAAGCAGTTCTTATATATTATCTGCAAATATATTTTGTTTTAGGATCAATTTGTTATTATTGGAAAAAAACGAATAACAAACAAACGTCATTTGTGGTATTTATATATGGACAGTTTGGAATGAAGCTTTATTAGCCAGCACCTTTCAATGGTGCCAAGCTTCTTCGACGGATTCAAGAATGCTCAAATTGTTCAAATTCAACACCGCCTGTATTTTTTGGAACATTTAGTAGGATTGGCTTACATTCCTGTATCAACAATAAAACCAAGGAAGACATGGAAAATGACCTGTAACAACAGCCAAGTCTAAAATCTCTTAAAAGACTTGATGCTTCAACATTCAATTGTCACAGTCTATTTTCTTCCTTCATCACACAACTTTTCGATCTTGAACAATCATAAAGAAAAAGCTGAATCATTTTTAATGAAAGAATCTGTAGAGTGGGAAATAATAATAAATATTGCTGTTGAGATTTAACGCCATGTTAAGTCTGTGACAGCCTTTAACAATAACAATTTTATAATTAACAATATAAAAAATAAATAATAGTTATTTATGTTGTTTCTAGAAGTTTAGTTAGTAGTCGACATAGTACTAGATAGTTTATCTACTTTGCTCTTAAAATTGTTCACCGTTAATGCTTCAATGGTTGACTGTGGTAAAATATTCCATGCCTTTACAATTCGGTTTGTGAAGAAATGTTTTCGAGTTGAGTGCATAAACTGTGTTTAAATTGATTACATCTTGTATTAGCAGCTGGTCCAAACACCAATAACGATTCTCAAAATTTAGGCGGATTGTGCCATGAGATATCTTCAATATGATGGAAATATTTATAGAATTGAATTAAATGACCACGTCTTCTTCTTTCGGTTAGTGTTATTAAATTCAATTGATTAACCTTTCTTCGTATGAAAAGTGTTTAATTTCAGGTATCATCTTAGTCTCATGTCTTTGAACATTTTCAAGTATATCAATGTCATTCTTTAAGAACGGATTCCGTACCTGAACAGCAAATTCTAAATGTGGTCTCACATACGCACAATATAGCTTCTTGAAAGAGTTACAAGTTTTATAATTAAACGCTTTGGTAATAATACCTAATTTACTATTTGCTCTTGAAGCTGCTGTTCTGGCTTGGATTGTCCACTTTAAATTGTCTGATATCAAAACACCTAAATCTCTTTCAATGTTTGTTGTTAATATTTTGATCCTTATATCATTGTCAGTCATGTAATAATCAAAGTTTTGATTATGTATACCATAGTGCATTATCTTACATTTTTCAATACCGAAATCCATGTCCCATTTGTATGCCCATTTTACTAACTTATCAATATTATTTTGCATAACATCACGATCTATTAATTAAATAACCGGTGCAATAAGTTTGTTATCATCGCATACAATTTTGAGCTTTGTTCTGAATTTTAAAATTGCTTGTTCTGGTAAATAGTTTATGAAAATCAAAAATAATAATGGACCTAACTCCGATCCTTGAACTACTCCACTCACAACATTTTGCCATGATGAAGCTATATCACCCAGGACTATTCTTTGTTGTCTTTCAAATAATAACGATTTAATCCAATTTAATAAGTAAGATTTGATGCCATAAGAGAATAACTTTGTTAACAGAAGTTTATATGAAACACGGTCGAAAGCTTTTTCAAAATCAGTATATAATACGTCAATTGATTTTCCATTGTCTATGCTGCTAGTTAAAATGTCTAAGTACTCTAAAAGATTAGTTGTACAGCTTTTGCCTTTTCTAAAGCCATGTTGCTGAATAGTCAAAAGTTTATTAGAATTTAAATGATTAATATTTTTGTCAGCTATAATTCGTTCTATAATTTTGCAGGAGATTGAAGTTAAGGATATTGGATGATAGTTACAAGGTTTAAGTTTATTTCCTTTTTTGAAAAGAGGAGTTGTATTAGCTTTTTTCCATTCGTCTGGGATAAAAAAACTCAAAATTGATTTTTTATAAATAAGATATAAAGACAATACTGTTTGCAGCTTCAATACATATGGATGAACACAGTCAGGAGCCATAGATTTTCTAATATCTGTTTTTAGCATATAGTTTCGTACTAGTTCTTCAGAGATATATATATCTTCTAACATAGTTTGACATCTATTTTTTGAATTCTGGTAGTGTCTCCAAACGTTCAGATATATAAACAGAATTAAAATAATCATTTAAGGTACAAGCAATTTGTGTTGACAACGATACCATCTTTATTTTCAACTGCTTAATAACAATTTATTTATGAAGTTTAATACTTTTGGATCACTGTTTGCTTTATCAGCAATCGATTTTTCATAATTTTTAATTGCACATTTGATCTGTAATTTGACAAACTTTTTCATATTGTTATATTGGCTCTTTAACTAGTGATCATAGAAACTAAACTTCTTAATTCTTGATGAAATCTCGATGATTGATCTTGATGAAATAAACTCAATATATCTTAAAATAAAGTGCAAGGTCTCTCAAATGAAGATTGTCAAGGATACAGGTCAGTTTATCAAGGCGCAGAACGAGACAAAGCACTTAAAACATCTTTTTAGCCAAGCATTATGAAAGATGAAAATTAAAAATCTAGTTTCTTCTTTGGTTGGTTTATCTTCACAGGAAGAAATTTCCAATTCCATCAAATTTTGCTTTGATGAAGATAATTGTTGACGAAGACAATTGGTTTTTGAGTGTTCTACTGTACATATCTAGGTGTACTGTACTTACAATAGTAAACTAAAATACTAAATATTTATTTAGCCGTATTGTTTTAAAACAAACCACCATAATCCACATAATATTATTTTATAATAATCAGTAGTATAAAATAATAAGTTGTAAAAATAAGTTTTTTTATTTTTTTTTTAATTTTGTAACGTTACACCAAAATGTGGCAGAATATGGCAATCCCTAAATATAATCAAGTTTACTTCAAATTTGGGTCAGTAATTACTATTGTCATATAGAATATTTTATTAATTACTATTGTTATATATAATATTTTATATGAAAATAATATATATAATATTATAGGATAATTTACTATTGTCATTTTGAAAACTATTTAAGAATAACATAAAACAGCTACATATGATGTTTCCGTCTATAGCTGATGATGTTTGTTGATTACACTTTATTTGATACTTTTTTGATGTTTTTAACAATTTTTTTTGTTTTGTTTTTGTTTTGTTTTGTTTGAAAGGTAAATAATCTATGTTTTTGAAGAAAGATCAAGAGGATCTTCTCATCAGAACTTTTATATAGGCGTAAACTAACATATAAATTAAAAAGTGAAACGTATAAGAACAACAAATAAAATAATTAGGAATAAACTTCTATAAACGTAGACATGTAATATAAACAATAAAAAGTTGACCAAAATATATTTTTAGCATTTACTATTAATAATAACTCAATATATTATCCATGAAAGAATGAGGTTTTTTAGTTTATTTTTAAAAAGGCAAAAAGTCATAGGTACTTCAATATTAAAATTGGAAAAACAATTTTGTTCCAAAGGTGTGGCACTCGGTAGTACAAATTGATTGACAAAAAGGTTCATTTAAAAAGTTATTTTTTCTCAAAATAACCATATTTACTGATTTAAAAGTAAATATTTACTGATAAGTGGATAAGTCATTTATCCATATATATATATATATGCAAAACATAAAATATTAAATACATTTAACTCGTATATATTTAGAATTCTCATTTCAATAAAATAATGCTTTAAATGAGAAGCAATTTGCAAAATTGATTATAAGGATTGCGCGACGGAAACAAAGACGTTGCAACTTAACAAAATTTAAATAACTATGTATAAATGAATAATAAAGTTGGGTTAAAATTTTCTTATTGAGGTAGATTCGTGATTTATATAAAATCCCCATGTTTTTAGAAATTTTTATGCTTATTAAATCAATATGATGATTTCAAGTAACCTTTTCATCAAAATAAACACCTAAAAACTAATCCTTTTTTATTTCCTTTTGATCGATAAAGATTTGAGATAATTTTGATGGGAGAAATTGCTTTTTTGATGACTTTCATATGCTGACTGAATTACATGTCGGTTTACATGCCTCTTATATAGTAAAATGAACCTGTGTGAACCTGTTCTGGAAGATTCTAGATGCTTCTTTTTGATGCTTCTGGATGCTTCTGGATGCATCTGGATGCTTCTGGATACATCTGGATGCTTCTGAATGTTTCTGGATACTTCTGGATGCTTCTGGATGCTTCTAGATGCTTCTTCTGGATACTTCTGAAAGCTTCTGCATTCTTCTGGAAACTTCTGGATACTTCCTCTAATTATTAAAAAACTTCCGTGACGTTGACACGGACCAGACTTAAGAAAATGAAACAAACCAAAAAAGTTGCACTTGTTTTGTACGCTGCAAAATGGCACTTGTCAACGAAATTCTGCCTGTGTCCTGTCACCTGTCAGCTGATCGCTCATGTCATGGCATGCTATGACTCCAGACTTCTGAACTGTTTGCTATTGTAGTATAGTTCGTTTCGTTTTTCAGACATATAAAATTAGGAACACTTTTTAGCATTGTTCGGTGTTGGTTGCAAATGTTTTGTCCAATACTGTATATTTATATAAAACACACACATACTAATTGCTTTAAATAAACTGTTTATATATAAACACACACACACACACACAGATTGAAACTTTTGTCGGTGTTGCATATGCTTTAATGTATTTTTTTATTTTTTATAGCGCACCACGGAAGAGCACCTAAAGCAGAATAAATAAGTTGTTTCGAGACTTACTCATTGATACGAACAGCGCGACTTCAAGACCGGATATATAGATTCTCAATCAGAAATCGAAATATCTACTCGCAGCCATTGCTTATAAAACGTTTTAAAAAACTATACCTATGTCATAATCTTACATAAAATAATAATTCATGGTATTTCTTTTATTAGGTATTTTAAGTATCTTCCAATAGGTTCTTTATCTGAGAGTGCTATTGAAGCCAGAAACAAGGAAAGCAAAACTGCGCAAGTAGTTAATGCAAGTCCAACTTTCTTGGAAGAAAACACTAGGGGTACAGCTACTTATTTGTTTGTGACATTTGATATGTATCTCTATTGAGTGTTTTTTTTGAATAACATGTTCTATTGAATAAAATGCTCTATTATTAATAGTTTTGGCTATTTTTGTTAGACTATTTTTGTTAATTTTTTTTTTATGTAAATAAATCTCAATATAATTAATAATAACAATTCAAAGTTTTTTTTTTTTTTTTTTGTTTACAAAAAAATTTTAAGAAATGATTTAATAACATTTAACTAGTAATTAACTAATCTAGAAAGATCTATATCATGAACTAAAATGTTTTTCTGATAAGCTGTTCTGCGTTGAATTTTCTTTAAAAAGCTATTTTCATAGCCACAAGTAGCGATCAACCGAAATTCTGTTTCGGTATCGGTTTCGGCCAAAATTTCAATTTGAACTGATACAGAAGTTTCGGTTTCGGTACTTTTTACAAAAACCGAAATTTCGGTTGA